CTTACAACTGGCTCAGATCTTTAGTATTGACAAGAGATACGATAATTTGTTTCTTCCCCTCACCCCCCAGTAACCAGCTGGTCAACCAGGAAAAAACAGCCAAACTAAATGTGCCTCTAAGTATTTCTAAAACACAATCCTCTAAGTCAGCATCCCTTTGGGTTTGTAATTTTTGAAGCCTTCATTTCATGTTTCACACAGAGTATGTATGCCTGTGGGCCTGGTGAAGGCTCTGCTCAGAGAAAGAAGTAATCAGGGAGGGCCTTGGGAAGCCATTCATTTCTCTGACTTAGTGGTTTAAAAAGTCTGGTGGGGACAGAGGTACTATATGGGCACTTTTGCACTTAGAGAGACTTGGCATTTTCAGCCAATCATAATTTGGAACTAGAGAAAGAGAAGTTGTGGGAGAAACAGTGGTTCTTCCCCTGGGAAGGCTTCCCTGGCTCATCAGGATGATGCAGGTAGAAGAACTGGACTGTAGGCCATTGAGGAAAGGAAGCATGGCAAAGGGACATCCACAGCCAGCTCTCCTTTCCTTCTGCACACCTGCCTTAAGCAGGGGCCTGAGCCAATACCGAGAACACAGCCATCACTCCAAAGACTCCTGCCTTCATAGAATGAAGACTCAGTTGAGAGATAGTCACTGTGTATTGCCATTTTATAATGGGGTGATATTTGTAAATTACTTCTGAGCATGTATAATTGCCATAAGCTCTCCAGAGAAGAGTCACTGGTATCTGGAGAGGGTATGAGGTAGGACTAGAATTGGTCTGGGCAGTCAGGAAGGGACGGTTGAGGAAGGGGCCTTTTAGTGGCGCCTTGATGGGAATGACTAGATAGAGGGGCTGAGGTAAACTGAGGAAACCACGTGCCCAAAGCCCCCCAGCTGGAAGGATCCTTGAGGAGACCTGTGTGTCTGGACTAGGGATGGGGGGAATGGCGAGTAGGCAGGATGGTGGGAAATGAGGCAGGTGGGTAGCAGAAGTGCTTGGCTTTCTGGACTTGTGGAACCAGTTACATAATTTGGATTTTATCCTTGAGAGGTTGTGATCATGGAAAGAACATGAACTCCTCATCACTTCCATCAGGGCTGCCATCCCTGCCTCTAACCTTGTCCTTAATGGCTGCCCTTATTCAACGTGTCCTCTGTACCTATGAGGCTTCCAGTCAGTACTGCTTCTGCATGGAATCTGCTCACCTACTTCACTGCTGCTCCAGTTTGCTCAGGCAAGCCTGGACACACCTTCCTGTCTCTAGACTGGAAGTGCTACAGTGCCATCAGATACAGGGGCCAGGTAGACCCTTGTAGAACTTTGGACCTGTCTGTGGACCCAGGGCTGCCATCAGTTCTGTCCTAGCAGATTCTAGCTCCTTCCTACCAGTTAACAGGTTGGATTACTACCCTTTGTGGCAGTTGTCCCTGCCTCTTTTAATGAAGGTTCCCAAATCTGACTGGGGTTGTCACCTGAAAATGTACATACTGACCCTGGACTCCACACCCAGATTGGATTCCTCAGGCTTGGGAGAAGGACTCAGTGGGAGCCCATTCAAGCAGGGATAGGTTCTTCCCTACTGTCTGACAAAGGCTTGAATTGTGCAGCTACCACCAGCCCATTTTAGAAACTCTCACAGCCCTTAGCCATCACTCCCCATTCCCTGCCTCCCCAGCAGCCCAAGACAACTGCTAATGATCTTTTCTGCATGGATTTTCCTTGATAAATGCCAGTGAAGAATGCCAACTCTCTTCTGCTTGACTTTTAGGTCTCCCAGCCTGCCCCACTGTGAGAACAGTCATGTGCCTTCCCTTTCCTTTGGCTGTTCCTGACTCTGGCAAGCCTCTCTTACCTACTCTGTTCATTCGGAAAAATTAGTGCTCTACTGTGGACCTTGAGGGCCCTTAAGAAGCCAAGAAAAGAGAATTTCTGGCTCACCTAGATGCTATGTAGCCTCTGACAAGTGGCCTTCACTGTCTGGGCCCCAGAGTGCCTAAAATGAGGTAGTGGGACAAGGACCTTCCACTCTGGAGAGTCCTAAGAGTCCTGGTGTGGCACTGTAGGATAAGTTGTTGTTGTTGTTATGTGCCTTCATTGAATGGATTTCCTCATAGTGACCCTGGATAAGGTTTCCATGGAGCAGCTGGTGAGTTTGCAGTCTAGTGCTGATCCTACACCAGGAAGTAGGTAATTTGTTCCTTTCCCATCCCTTTGTTGCTAGCTGGATTTAGGTGAAAGGGAGACAGCCAGAGCATCTGCTTTCTAACCCATGCTGAGTTTCTACTAAGAAGGATAGTTAAACAAATAATACTCTTGTTAATGCCCTGTTTAAGTTGATTTTATGTTGATTCTGACTAATAACTATTATGTAGGGCAAAGTAGAGCTGCCCCAAACGGTTTCCTAGGCTAAAATGTATAAGGGAGCAGTTAACTAACACTTTCCTCCTGCAGAGTAGCTAGTTAGAAGCGAATTCTTTAACCATTGTAACATCAAATGATGTGTTTTAAGCACTTAGGGCCAAGCACAGTACTGAAAGTTATGTTTTCCGTCATGCAAGTTTCTTTGTGATTGATATGTAATCAACACACCATAAAATTCGCTCTTTTAAAAGTATACAGCTCTGTGGTTTTTAGCATAACCACAAGATTGTTCAGTCATTAAACCAATAAACAATAAATAATCAAGCTAGTTGCTGTTGGGTTGATTCTATCACGTGAAGACCCGCCATGTACAGAGTAGAAGTACCCCATAGGGTTTTCAAAGCTGTGACTTTTCAGAAGCAGATAACAGGCCTTGTTTGTGAGTTGCCTCTTGTTGGGTTTGCAGTGCCAACTTTTTGTTGTTGATCATGTGTGCAACCCCAGGGCTCCAGTGTAGTCATTGTTGCTAGGTGTCCCCGAGGCAGCCCCGACTCAGGCTGAGCCATGTGTTACAGGTTCCAGGCCTTTCTTCTGGGCCACGAGGTGGGCTTGAACCATCCAACGTATTATCCTGCAGCACCACACCAGCATTCCCAGCACCTCTGAAGGAGGAAACTTGGTTTCTGTGTGTTAATGCTCACTCACCATACCCCACTTTCTGTGTTTATGGATTTCATATAAATGGAACCTTATAATATATATGGCCTTTTGTGTCTGACTTCTTATACTCAGCATAATGTTTTATGTTATAGCATGTTTCAGTATTTTGTTCCTTTCTTTAAGAAAACAAGCTTTATTCGGATGTAATTCACATGCCTTATGATCCAGCTTTTATGATCACAATCCACACATTTGAAGTGTACAGTCAATGGCTTTAGTATATTTAGAGTTGTTCATTCATCAGTACCGTCAAGTTTAGAGCATTTTTATCATCCCCAAAAGAAGTTGCATTTTCTGTCGCTGCCATTCTCCTATATCCTAATCACTACACCTCCTCCCACCTCTGGCATCTAACCATTAATCTACTTTCCATCTCAACAGATTTACCTTTTCTGGACATTTCAGTTATAATAAAATAGATGAACTTTTGTACCTTTTTTCACACAGCACAATGGTTCAAGTTTCATTCGTGTTTTGGCAAGATCAGTACTTCATTTGTTTTTATTATTGAATACTATTCCATTATATATGGAGCTCTGGTAGCGTAGTGGTTATGAATAGAGCTGCGAACCTTAAGGTCAGCGGTTCGAAACTACCAGCCGCTCCGCGGGAGAAAGATGAGGCTTTCTACTCCCGTAAAGATTTACACCCTCGGAAACCCTGTACAGGGTCGCTATGGGTCGGAACCGACTCGATGGCACTTAACAACAACAACAGTTTGCTTATTTATTTATTCACTAATGGATGTTTGAGTTCTTACTACTTTTTAGCTACAGTGAGTGAAGTTGCTATGAACATTCATTAACAAGTTTTTGTGTTGACATAGCTTTGGAGTGGAATTGTTGAGTCATATGGTAAATCCATGTTTAACCTTTTGAGGCACTGCCAGGCTGCTTTCAAAGGGGCTGCCCTATTTTGCACTCTTGTGTTGTTTGCCTGCATCATGTCAACAATCTTCATAACCTTGATGAAATGTAGACATAATGATTATCATCCCTGTGTTAGAAGAAGCACAGCCAGAGTGCTTCTTAGAAATCAGGATGGTCTGACTTCGTCTTTCGTACTTGGGACATATTATCAGGAGGGACCAGTCCCTGAAGAAAGATACCATGTTTGGTGAAGTGGAGGATCGGAAAAAAAGAGGAAGACGCCTCCCATCACCCAACGAAATGGACTGGCACAGTGGCAACAACTATGGGTTCAGATGTAGCAATAATTTTGTTTTCGTTTCTGTTGTTCATAGGGTCGCATTGAGTTGGTACTGACTCTATAGCATCTAACAACACTGGCCCCGACCCCACCCCACCCCACCCTTTTTTTTTTTTAACTGATAATAAACATTAGCACAGTTTTCATCTGTAAGTTCACACAGCTGGTCATTCATTGCTTATTGAGTCTTTGGCAGATGCTAGCTTTGATCACTAAAGCAACATCTCTGCTCACAGATCCTGTTTAGATTATCACACCGAGGGCTTTGGACTGTGTCATTCATGTGAGCTGACTCTTGCCTAGCAGTGTGCAGCAGCCATTATCACTCAAGTATTTTTTGAGCAAGATGCCCTTTTACCCTGATCAGGACCTCCAGGGGGCAGTCTGTTTCTTAGCGGTTACTATGTTGTTGTTATTAAGTGCCATCAAGTTGATTTTGACTCATAGTGACTCTGTATAGGGTTTCCAAATCTATACATCTTTATAGGAGCAGAAAGCCTCATTTTTCTCCCATGAATTGGCTAGTAGGCTTGAACTGCCTATGTTGTAGTTTGCATGCCAGTGTTTTCCTGCAGTATCCCCCCTGAGCCGAGGACCTCTTCCCAGACATCTCCCTGGATACCTGGGATCTGTCTGGCTGAAATGAATTCTGTTTTCAGTGAACCTGTTTTCTTTTTTCTGTTCCAGTAATCTGCCCTCTTTTTTTATCTCCTCCAGGCAAAACCCATCTATGGTGGCTGGCTGCTCCTGGCTCCCGATGGAACTGACTTTGACAACCCAGTACATCGGTCTCGGGTATGGGCACCGAGCAAATTCTCAGGGTGTGAAGATTCAGGGGTGGGAGGAGCCAGAGAAGGGGAACCATTGAAGAGTCAGCTAGCGGAATGGAAGATGGCATGGGGATTTAAAAATGGATCCTGGATGACAGGATGAGAAGCCGCACCCCTACCCCCATTTGGCAAAAGTCTCAGTGATTTGTAATTGTACATACTTCCAAATGAGATACCCTCTTATGGGTGCCACCAGTCTGGGCCAGCTTGACCCTGGAAACAGTAAAATTGAAAAAGCAAAGAACTATTTGGTAAACATGCTAATTCTGCTCCTGTTCCCTTCAATGCCCAGGCCCTACTTTCTGCTCCCTCCCCAGCCTGGGCTCAGCACTTGAGAACAAAGTCTTTCCTCATCCTCTCTAGACAGTGCATTTTCTGTTTTAAAGTTTTTATTGTGAATTGAGGGAAAGTTTACAGGGCAGATCATCAGTTTTACATTCAACAAATCATACACCTTGTTTCATTATAGTAATTATAATCCCCTCCATGTATCATAGTTAACAGTATTTCTCTCTATTCACTTAGCTCTTTTTTATTTTTTTAAAATACTCAGGCATGTATAATAATTTAAACCACCAAAGGGTACATTCTGCAAGCCTGCCTCCTGGCCGCTAGCTCTCAGTCACTCTCTTTCCTTGAATCTGGAGTCCTTAGCTGCTCCCTCTCTCCATTAAACTGTGCATTTTCTGTAAGGTAGAATGTTTATAGGGGAGAATGTGGGATCCCCATTTCTCTGGGGCAGCCCCAGGGTAGACCCCTTCTGGACAAAGGCTTCTGGGAATCATCAAGTCTGTGTGGTAAAGACAGCATAGTGCCTGGCCAACCTGAGGTTCGTTCTTTCGGTAAGAATTCTTTTGGGGTTCTTTGACTTTGCTTCAGAACTTATCTTCTTCTTCTTATGTACTCTCTTCCTTTGCACAGTCCCCGCAAGGGCCCCAGCTTTGCCCCTTTCCCATGCCCTGCTCCCTTTGGTGCCTCTGCATATTCTAGCCCACAGACCTTGCATTGTGTCTATATGGTCTTTGAGATTCCTTCTGGAATGGATTTTGGTTTCAAACACAACACATAGGAGCCTTAGAAATGTTTATTGGAAGGTGTCCAAACTGTTTCTCTCTAGACACCAGCTTGGAAGCAGCTCTTCAGCAGGTTCTCTCAGCAGACCCTATGAATGGTTCTGCTTGTGCCACCCAAGGTGGGGGAGCACAAGAACCACTGTGGGCTCCCTGAGACCGTTGCTGCTGGTGAGAGGGAGAAACACAGTTTCCTTTTAACGTCCGAAGAATCGCCATTTTCAGATTCTGTGGAGAAAATCATGATTATAAAAGGTGCAAATGTGGCCCAAAGCAAAGAGAAAGGATATTTTAGTTTTTGTGGCCTTAACTGTCAGTGAAAGTATAAGTATGTATTTTGTAGGACTTTTTGAGATGTTGAAAATGGGTCCTGGAATTTGAGAAGCTGTGCTTGTCAGCCACTGATTTAGACCAGAAGTCTCTTATTATACGAGGAGACTTCAAAAAGTGTGTGGAAAATGTAATTTTTCAATTCTATTTTCTATAAACTTTTTTAATCCCTTCATTAATGAACCCTTCTATCTATAAAATAACAGCGTAAATTAAGAGAGACACCCCTGAAAGTTCTTTGATTTCAGCATGAGACCACACTTGGCATCTCCATGACATGGCTTTAGGGATAGGGTAGCGAGTATAGGCCAGAGGGTGCTCTTGACACCTTGGATATTGGGGTTAGTCTCTACTGTCCCTGCTTCTCCTTGGTTTTGATTTTGTTAACCTTTTCATTCTCTATGGAGATCTCTTAGGTTATTAACCTTCAGGACAATGTCTTTCTAGCAGTTTACCAGGTTTTTTTCAAAAGAACTGAATCAGTGCCTTGGGTTAGTCTATTGTCATGTGAGATATTTCATCAAAGATATATTAGCATCGAGTATGTGATAAGCTGTGCTGGATATCATAACAACCATAAAAACTTTTTGCCACTGAGATGATTCCAACTTTTGGTGCCCTTGTATGTGCAGAATAGAACTGGGCTCCCAGTGACTGTGATCCTTTGGAAGCATATCATCAGACCTTTCTTCTGAGGTACGTCTGGGTAGGCTGGAACTGCCAACCTTATGACTAGTAGAGCCAAGTGCTTAACCATTTGCCCCATCCAGGGATGCTGCTGTGTAGCGTAAGGATTACAGAAAGCCGACTGAGGCATTGGTTTTGCTCCTAAGTAGCTTATAGACTAGAAGAAGAAAAGCAGGAGTGGGGAAGTGTCTTCTGGTTAAATCCAGATAATGCACAAGGAAACACACTGGGTGATTGGCTTCTCCTTCCAGCGAGTCACACTAGTTACGCCTTGGGCCTCTTTTCCTACCACTTGCCCCAGGAATGACATGGGTTAGTTAGATACAGGGAATTAGCAAGCCAAGATCTGGGATCAGAGCCCTCTTAACCATGCACTCTGTACTCCATTCCAGAAATGGCAGCGGAGGTTCTTCATCCTCTACGAGCATGGCCTTCTGCGCTATGCACTGGACGAGATGGTAAGTGTTCTTCCTCTGTTGGTCATGGGTGTTGTGGGTGAGTACAGCAGTCATGTGCCAGTGCGTGGCTTTCTGTCTGAGTGTCTGGAGCATTGAAGAATTTATGGCCACTTATGGAGATGACCTTTCAAACTCAGGGCATTGATTGACTGAGACATTTCTTTAGGGTCACACGTGAGAGTAAGCAGAGAGGGAGGAAATCTGTTCTGCTCAAGGCTGGTAAGAGGTTAGATTTAGCCAGAGCATTTTCCATTTGAAAAGTCAGTGTGATGCTCTGGAGGTTGACTGTGAGGAAGTGTTTTGTTCCCTTTAAATCTTTGGCTGATATGCTGGAATAGACTGGTGAACGCCCATGGCACTTTGAGGTGTGAGTGCTTGGGCTGACCCTCGTGAGTATATGTAAGTGTGTGTGTGTGTGAGTGAGAGAGAGAGAACGTATAGGCATTTGTATGCTATAGTCCCCAAAGTGCCTCTTAATTCCCGCTATTGTTAATTGGTTTTGCTCTTGGCTTAGTTTTTAGTCAAGCTCAGAGGCCTCTTGGTCATAGGGCCAGTGTTCTGGACTCCTGTATGCTCTACCACTGACCTGGTTTCTGCCTGTCTGCTGGGCTGTATGTCTGTGTGCTACTGTTGCTCCAGAGGCAACACTGAAAACCAACTAGGTTGGAATGTTCTAGATTTTCTTTTTGTGCTCATTTAATCTGGTGTTGAAGATGAAAGATTTGGCCACTTTTTCCTCTTTCATTTGAGTGTGAGGGTGAGTGGGTGCAGACTCATGACAGTATGAGTGTACACATGCAAGCGTACATTTGAGTGTTTGTGTGAGTCTATGTATATGCATGTATGTATGTGTGGGAATGTCACTAACCCTATGGTCCTAACCTTGTAGTAAAAACTATGATTTGATAAAGAATTTGTTCTAAGTCCAGCACAACAGGCATTTTGAGTCATGTTGGATACCTAAGTATACGCTGACATTTGTAGGATACTTTGGTGGTTTGTGGCAAAGCAGTGCAGTGTTTCCAAATTGGGACTGTCCTGGAAAATCGAGTCAAACTGTGTACATTCCATATGACGTTCATTTCTTTGCTGCACAGGTGAGAGTTGAGTTTTGGAGATGTGAGCAGGAAATTCTTTCTTATGTCCTTCTGGACTGTTTGGACACTGGACTTTAGGATGGTCATTATAACTCTTAGGTATAAGGCCGTGAATGGGACCATTTTACATGTAAGTGGTGATCTTTATGGTGTGATTGCTACTATGCATACTTTTTTTTTAAAAAGTTTTTTTATTGTGAATTAAGTGAAAGTTTACAGGGCAGATCATCAGTTTTACATTCAACAAATCACATACTTTGTTTCATTACAATGGTTATAATACCCTTCATGTACTATCAGTTAACAGTATTTCTAGCTATTCATTTTAGTTCTTTTTGTTTTTTTTAAACACTCAGGCATATATAATAATTTAACCCACCAAAGGGCACAATCTGCAAGCCTGCCTCCTAGTTGCCAGCTCTCAGTCCCTCTCTTTCCGTGAATTTAGAGTCCTCAGCTGCTCCCTCTCTCCATGTCCCCATCTCTGCCTCCTTCTATGGTGTTGCTACTTGTCTGGATAAGGTCCCACATTCTCCTTGTGCTCTTCTCTCTTGATGATCCTAGGGTCCTCTGTTTCTGGACTGTAAGATTAACTAACTCCCCCCTTTTTGTTACAAAACTTCTACCTTTACAGTTGTGACAGTCGCAAATAGTCATTATAACAATTACTATTAAATCATAAGAATCTTATCCCCATCTTTTCACCAGATCCATCTAGACAAGATGAAAACTATTCAGTGGGGACTCTTTCTTCTCCCATACACTGTTAAACTAAACTCCCTCTTGAAACCTTGTAAGCCAGTCACTTTGTGCCTTTATCACCCCCTCATTTTAGGTAGCCAATGTCTAAGTTGCCGGTCCCTATCTACCCTGTGTACAGAGGGGATAGTATTGATACTTGATTGAAGACTCCTTCCCTCTCTGTTGGTATTTTGAGCTACTACCTAGCGTAGTGGTTACGAATTGGGCTGCGAACGTTAAGGTCAGCAGTTCGAAACTACCAGCTGTTCCGCAGGAGAAAGATGAGGCTTTCTGCTTCTGTAAAGATTTACAGCCTCAGAAAACCTGTACGGGGTTGCTATGAGTCGGTTCTGACTCCACGGCACATCACCACCACCACCACCACCTCCATGAGTATAGGTCAGGTTCATCAAATTGTAGCAATTTAGCCTCATTTCCCTTATCAAAAAAAAAATTATTTTTCATTTTTTAATCTTCTTCTAGTCGAGTTCAGATTATCAAGCCATCGAGGCTAAGCCAAATGGATACTGCCTGCAAGTTTGGGTGTTGTTATGCATCTCCCTTCACTTCATATCAGCTAGATGCTTCACTCTCAGCTCTAGCCCTCCATGACTATGGCCTTGTCCATGGGCTCAGATGTTCCCAGGTCTCACCACACTTTGGACCAACCAGCCCTTCCTCTTCTCTTTCTCATCTCCAGGTCGACGGGAGTCAATGGAACGTGGTTGAACTCAGCTTATTTCTTCATTGCTGACTTTTCCCCTCTTCCACTCACCAGTAGACCAGTGTGGTTGCCAGGAAGCTTACATGCCTGCTTATGTGTTCCCTTTGAGTTTATCTTAGAGGGGGTTTGACCTGAAGGGCTATACTTTTGATAATTAATCACAGCTATTAATTCATCTAATTCAACATAACTTTTTTATGTTTTTGAGATGAATTTATAGTTGTGATCCTTAGTTTTTTTTATTGACTCTCTCACTTCATTAATTTCTTTTTAGAAACAGTTTTTTTTTTTTTTTTTCAATCTTCTTTCTGATCAGTATATTGTACACAGTGAAATGGACCACAAAGGGTATTTTTCCATGGAAGTATCTGCAATCTAGAGTGGTTTGGAAATACAAACTGATCGCGTGGTGGAATTCATTAGAGGTCAGGAGATGGAAAATGACCCCTGGCTTTTGCCCTGGAGGAAGACGCTAGCAAGCAGGCAGGCAGGCTTACCCCAGACTGGGTGCTAGACTCCACAGAGCTTTGAGGGTTACTCTCCCCCCCTTGCCTCTCTGACCCTTTCTTAGTCCAGCAGCTAACAGTCTAGAAGGAGTCTTGTAGAGGAGATGGCAGGATTATATCCAGACTGGGCAGGATCCATGAGCCATTCCCAAAGCAGAGCTCCCTGAACTTTATTTGGTGACCAGTATTTCAGGCAGGAGATCTTTATGTAGATCCAGTAGAACCCATAATTCACTTTAACGCAGTTGCACGAGTACAAAGAGGGTAACTGCCAGGGGTGCAGTGGTGCTGGCACTCACACAGAGCACACACTTCATTGAGAACTGGCTCTCAGTAATTGAGACCAAACCAATATAAATATGTTGTCTCTCAGTAACCTGGCTGGTGACTGACTGGGTAACATTTCATGTGATGCTGGGGCGTGCCAGTGATGGGGAAAGAAAGAAGCCCCCCAGACTTTGCATTGAAGGTAGACAGGGGGAGCCCAGAGTTGCAAGTCTGATGGGGCCACTCTCTGGCAGATGACCTCCAAGCTGAAGGTGGTGTTCCACTAACACTTTGAGCCATGAATGCAGAAGAGAGCAGTGGCAGTCAAGTTGAAAGGCCATCAAAGCCACAATGCAGGATTACCAGGGGGATTCCTTGTTGTATCAGGAAGTCCCCATGGGTGGAAGTTGCTCTCTGAGCCAGATTGATGGTGGGGCTGATTTCCACCATAGTTAGTGGCCAGTTCATGTAGCTTCACCATGGAGGCAGGTCCCATAAGTGAGAGCTGGGGTCTCTAAAAGCCCAGTGATTCCCACTGTGGCTTGCTCTTTAGAGCTGTTCCAAACAAGTGAACAGTCTTGAATCCAGAGCTGCAGCATTGCACTCAGCTTTATCCTCATCTAAGACCCATGCCCCTGTTAGACTAGTGAAACCTGGGCCAGGGCAGGAGAACATCTTTCCAGGCAGGCTGTGGGGCAGTGAATTACTTAATATAGTTCTTCTAGCTATGGGCTTATGACAACGTCAGTCTTTTTTCCATTTATCATGTTATTTATTGGTCTGTTTGTGAGGATTTGTGTTTTCTTTACATTGAGGTACAATGTAGTCTTTGATCTTCATCAGTAAATATTTTCAGTCCTCTTTGCTTTCAGAAATTGAAGTTGTCAAATACTTCATTTTGCTTCGATCTACCATCAACACCCATGGAAGCAGCAGTCAAGAAATCAAACATTGTATTTTATTAGGCAAATCTGCTGCATAAGACCTTTTAAAAGTGTTTAAGAGCAAAGATATCAGCTTGAGAACTAAGGTGCGCCTGACACAAGCCAGTATGCTCAATATCCTCATATGCATGTGAAAGTTAGGCAGTGACTAAGGAAGACCATAGAAGAATCGATGCCTTTGAGTTATGGTGTTGGAGGAGAATATTGAAAGTACGATGGGTTGCGAGAAGAACAAACTAATCTGTGTTGGATGAGGTACAACTAGAATGCTCCTTAGAAGCCAGGATAGCCAGACTTCGTTTCTCATACATACTTCAAACATGTTATCAGCAGAAGGACATCATGCTTGGTAAAGTGGAGGGACTTGGAAAAAGAGGGAGACCCCAACAAGCTGGATTGGCACAGTGGCAGCAACAATGGGCTCAAGCGTAGCAGCAGTTGTGAGGATGTAACAGGACCAGACAGTGTTTCGTTCTGTTGGACACAGAGTTGCTATGAGTCAGAACCGACTAGACAGTATGTAACAACAACAGCTATGGTCTGTGACTCCCACAAAATAACTAGATGGGACTGTGCAAATAAAATGCTTGTAGTTTAACAATGCAGACCAGATGTAGGGGTGAGGGAGATGGCGCTATGTAAATAAATTCTGTGGAATCCAAACAAGGGAATTGGTCAGTTTTGCTATTCATCTAGGCTTAAAGTGAGCCAATCCTAGAGG